CACGCTATTCAAAAACATGTTTTGACTTGTGTTTATATATACACTTTAAGACACTGAATTGTGACTACCTCAAAATTGTTTGGTCCAGCCCAGTACCACTTATTAAACACAGATTAGATAACAGATACTTTTCTGGGTGTGGTCTTCAGAAACAGATCAGGGACCTCCAAGGATGCATTTTAATGAAATAATATCACTTTTATTCACAAAATGATATTTCCCAGATTACCTGTGTGGTATGTTGTTTCTCCTTTTTTTTTTTTTTCTTTTTTTTTTTTTTGGTATGGTGTGGTGTTTCTCAAACTTTTTCCCACAATACTTTGTATAGCACCCGTACTTTTCCATAGCAGGCCTCATATTTATAAATAATTATTTGTTTATAATGATCACACCTTTGTTAAAGCACTAGTCCCAGAAGGATAAGTTCATTTTATTCATTACTATATCCCCAGATCTTAACAGTGGCTGGCACTTAGCAAGCACTGAATACATTTTTACAACATGAAAAACTTACCTCTGATGGCCAGTATGAGTCACCTACCTCTTAAGATATTGGGCCATAATCCAAAGCTGTCTCTTCTAACAATCAGAAATTATCTTTGAAGGTGTCTGTTTTTTACTTTTGAAATTTATACGACTTTTAAATTCTTATCCATTGTGTTTCTTTTAATATGTGTTTTGTTATTCGCAAGAAAAATGGATACTTCAGGGAAATGTATCATGGTTTTAAGGATACATCTGTGTGTGGCATATGGGCTTTCGAATTGGAACTCTTGAAAATCTGCCTTGGTTTTTAGCAAATATCTTAAAGTTGAGTTCGTATCTGAAAAATGAGACTGAGAATATTTATCTTGAAGGATTTTGTTGTTGTATTTTAAGATGGTAAAATGAAATGTACTTAAAGTTCTTGGTTTTTGTTTGTTTGAGACAAGAGTCTCACTCTGTGATTCCATGGTAGAGTTCAGTGGCATCATCTTAGCTCACTGCACCCTCGAATTTCTGGGCTCAAGTGATCCTCTCACCTCAGCCTCCGGAATAGCTGTGACTACAGGTGCACAACACCATGCTCAACTAATTTTTAAATTTTTTTGTAAAGACAGGATCTCACTATGTTGCCCAGGCTGGTCTCAAACTCCTGGGCTGAAGTGATCTTCCTGCCTTGGCCTCCCAAAATGCTAGGTTTGCAGACATGAGCCACCAATCCCAGCCTGAAATGTACTTAAAGTTATTAGCATACATAATATACACGCACATATTGGTTCCCTTTTTCTTTCCCTTTTCCTTGTTTTTTTTTTTTTTTTTTTTTTTTTTTTTGAGACAGGGTCTTGCTCTGTCACCCAGGCTAGAGTGCAGTAGTACAATCATAGCTCACTGCAGACTTCAACTCCTAGGTTCAAATGACCCTCTTGAGTAACTAAAACTACAGGTGTGGGCACCCACACCCTGATAATTTTTTTTGTAGAGAGTGGGTCTCACTATGTTTCTCCTTTTCCTTCTTACTAGAAAATTTCTAGCTCCCTCCTAAGAATCTCGCCTTATACCTGGTTCTTTCAATACGTGGTTAATAACTGTCAACTTAAGGACTGAAAGTGTTTTCAATCCTTGAGCCATGGCTGTGGCTCTTCATCTTGGGGACAGAACTCTTTAACTGAGTGTAATGAACACCTCATAGATGACATTTTCTAGGAAAAATTTTGAACCAATGCCAACAATGTCCACAGAGAAAAATTAGATTGAATTAAGTTTTATTACTACTTGTTTAGACAGATTTACTTGTCTTAGACAAGTAAGAATTTATAGAATCTGTGCTTTATTGCACTGTATAGAAACTAGAAATGCAGTTATACTTATGTAGTACAGTTTGTGGGAAATCAGGGATGGCGTTCTCCGGAATACATGAAGAGTCTCAGTGATTGTTGCAAGGAATCACGAAAGAGATCTTTGGTCCAAAGAAGACGTCTCTGAAAGAAAGTAGAGCATCAGTTAAATTAACCTGAAGGCTAAGATGTTCGTTAGTCTCTTCTAGGTTAAAAATAGCCAATGATTTCCAGGATTTCAGTAATGACTATTCTTTTTAGGTGACTAAAATGTAAAGAGATGAGTGGGAAGACTTGCCACAGAAGCAACAAAGACCAAGAAGGTAATCGATTTGTCTACTTTTCCCTCATTTGCCATTGATATCATGCTACCATTTATCTAAAAAGAAAAATAAATATTAGGGAATTTCAAAACTTTATAGTCATGCGTACAATTGCATGTGACTTATATGGGGATAGGCCATAAAGTTTAAATCTGCAGTTAGGAAACAGAAGATTCAATATTTTTGTTTACTAAATAAATTTCTAGGTTTTATGGGGAAAGGAGAAACGTTACAAAGCTACTCAACTTTTCCTGGTTGAAAAGATCACATAAAGTAATACATAAAAATGCATGGAAGAATACAAAATTATATACATATGCAAGATAGTATTATAATTATGGCTTATTAGAAATATACTTAGCAAGACAACCCTGTTGTTACTGGTTGGAATTTTTCTTTAATTTTCCCCAAATCAAGTGTATCTACACTGCTGTTCTCATCCATTAACAGAGATAATCACAAAATTATAATATAAATGTAAGTTCATTTCAGTAAACTGGTTTCAAGCCATACAAAAAAAAAAGCAAACATGGTATTTTAATATTAGTTGGACTTTCATTTATGTAGTACGGGAAAAATGGTCATTTGATGAGATTAATTAACTAGAGTTCTTGGCATCATTGTTTTAGTAGAGTGATTCTTAAACTTTCCTATGCATTTATAATCACCTAGCAGGTTTGTTAAAACATTGCTGGGTCCTACCTCCAGAGTGTCTGATTCAGTAGATCGGGGGTGCAATTCAAGGATGGATATGCAATATTAAAAACTCAGTTGATGCTGAAGCTGCTGCTCTGGGAACCACACTTTGAGAACCAGCTGGCTTCGTAGATGAAATATCTGGTCTGAATCAGAACATCTGGGTTCTAATCCCAGTGTTGTTATTAGCTAGTAATGTGGGATAGTACTGGCCATTTCAACTTTCTGCACCTTTCCTTGATAAGATGGTTATAGCTGCCTTTTCTATTTCACAGATTTCTTAGAAGAATGAAAATATGATGACATCGATTGAAAGTAATTTGAAAAAGCTAATTTCAGTATGAAATATCCAAGATCATAGGATTTGAAAGATTCCTCAATAACCAGGGGGAAATGATTTTAAAATCAAGAACTAAAAATGTTTATTAATTTATCTACCATCATTTTATATTTGTTTTTTTGTTTGTTTGAGATGAAGTCTCACTCTGTCGCCCAGGCTGGAGTGTGCAACGGCGTGATTTCTGCTCACTGCAACCTCCGCCTCCTGTATTCAAGCAATTCTCTTGTCTCAGCCTCTGGAGTAAGTGGGATTACAAGCGTGTGCCACCATGGCCAGCTAATTATTTTTGCATTTTTGTAGAGACGGGCTTTCACCATGTGTACTTGTATTTTAAGTGCAAAATGATGGTATATAAATCAATAAATATTTGTTCTTAAAATATATGTATAAACCAATGGTAAATACATTGTCTTGAACTTTTATCTAGTTCATTTCTGGTTTACCTATACATAGAACTAGAAAACTTTTCTGTTCGGTTAATTACTTGATCCATTTAAGGGGATTTTGTTTTTTCTTTTCTTTTCTTTTCTTTTTTTTTTGGCGGGGGGGAGTTTCGCTCTTGTTACCCAGGCTGGAGTGCAGTGGCGCGATCTCGGCTCACCGCAACCTCCGCCTCTTTGGTTCAAGCAATTCTCCTGCCTCAGCCTCCCGAGTAGCTGGGATTACAGGCATGTGCCACCATGCCCAGCTAATTTTGTATTTTTAGTAGAAATGGGCTTTCACCATGTTGGTCAAGCTGGTCTTGAACTGCTGACCTCAGGTGATCCACCCAACTCAGCCTTCCAAAGTATGGGGATTTTAGGCATGAGTCACTGCACCTGGCCTCACTGGGATCTTTTACCTAAAACCTTTTCTTGGTTTTCAAATTGGTTTAAGATTTCAATCGTGAGATTGACTCCTACTACTGGTAGATTTTTTTGTGGCAAAAATCAGATGGGGAGTTTAGAATTTCGTAGATTGAAGTATTATTTTCTGGATTTCATTTACTTTTATTAACTCAGCTAAATTCCATTTGAATTTTCATTTAAATGAAAACATTTAGTTCTTTACACAATAGTGATTATTCTAAAAAAGAGCTGGGATTTGAACAGGATTTTGTTAAAAGGGCTATTAATTTCAGCAAACCCATTATGAAGATGCATCTAAAAGTTGTTGTGCATACATTTCCAGGCAATACACTTTGTGATTTCATTTCCTTACTTGGGGCAGCAGAGCAATTCACTGAAGTTGCAGTAACAGATCATCTCACATCCCTTCCCATCCCAGAAATGATCCCGGACATTGACATCAATCTGTGTCAGGTCAGCTACTCCTTCCGGAAGGTTGTGACAGTTGCGATCTTTTATTATCTTTCTGTAGCAAGAGAGGCGATTTGCAGGCATGGCTTGAACTCCTAGCAGCAAAGTTAGCCCAGCGGTGAAAATGAGTACCATAAATTTCATTTTGGCTTTTGGCCCTAAGATAGAAGAAAGACCAAAATGTGTCAATGTTTGTTTTTGAAAGATAGAATTTATCTGAACATGAAGTTCTGTAGCATGCTCATAAACTCTTGGATAGAAATAATGGGAGTTGGCCTTTTCTACAATCCTGTTTGTATTTCTCAAAGTGTAGTTTTATGACCATCTATGACAAAAACCATTTGGAATATTTGTTAAAAATCAAATGCTCAGGCTTCTGGGCTGGGCACAGTGGCTCATGCCTGTAATCTCAGCATGGGAAGCCGATGTGCAAGGATTGCTTGAGCCCAGGAGTTTGAGACCAGCCTGAGCAACATAGTAAAATCCTGTTTCCACAAAAAGTTAAAAAATTAGCCATGCATGATGGCATGTGCCTGTAGTCCCAGCTACTTAGGATCACTTGAGCCCAGGAGTTTGAGGCTGTGTTGAACCATGATTTTCTCACTGCTCTCCAGACTGGGGATGGCGGAGCGAGACCTTGACACCACACACACACACACTCATGCACATGCTGTAGGCAGGGAGGAGGTGTTAGTGAGAGCCAGAACTCTGCATTTAATATGTACCCAAAGCCATATATTTTTTAAACATGGGGTAGAGAACAACTGCTTTTTAAAGTGGTATAAACTCAGACAAATTTCTAGAACAAATAGCGTAATTGAATTCAGTGGTTCTTTGCCTTACATAGCTACATCCTAACAACATTGTCAAAAACCTGGGTCCCATCCTGACAGAAACAAAAAACCCATTTATGTTGATAGTGACAGATGATAGTGTACAGATATGCTTATAGTTTGATTAGTTGTTTTTTAACTTCCAGAAGTATTTTAGGACCCATTATTATTGCAAATTTTTAGTAATGTTTTGGATTTTGATTCCACAGACACTACTTCTTCTTAGCTGCAGTTGAAAATGAAGCCTTGAATTCCCACCTTATAATCATCTGGCCTACCATGAACTCCTACCATGATGGGGAACTCATTACTGACTAAGTCAACATATTCCATTGGTATAATTCTAACATTTTTCTTATTGGAAAATATTTTTTCTATAGCTTCCACCCACCATTCCTAGTTTGAACCTTGAAGTAATACCAACAGTTCTAATTCCTCGTCCAGGAGATAATTTTACAGGAATTGCATAGAACTATAGAATATTAAATGTCTATCTAATTTGACTTCTCTAATTTCTATATTAGACATGAAGAAAATGGAGACTATCGTAGTAAAGGAAGAATAGCAAAATAGTGAAGGAACCAGAATTAGAATCCAGAGCCATTCAGATTTTATCCCGTTATCAAGTGCCAAAGTATGTTTTCTTTCTTGGAAAGAGGGAAAACAGATGAAGGATATTTCTCTTTGGATATTGTACTTTGAAATAAAACAATATTGTGGAATACCTGGACTTGGTGGCTCATGTCTGTAATCCCAGCACTTTGCGAGGCCAATGTGGGCAGATCACCTGAGGTCAGGAGTTCAAAACCAGCCGGGCCAACATGGCAAAACCCTGTCTCTACTAAATATACAAAAAATTAGCCTGGTGAGGTGGCATGTGCCTGTACTCCCAGCTACTCGGGATGCTGAGGCATGAGAATCAATTGAACCTGGGAGGCGGAGGTTGCAGTGAGCCGAGATCACGCCACGGCACTCCAGCCTGTGTGACAGAGGGAGGCTCAGTCTCAAAAGACACACACACACACAAAAAAAAAAAAAAAAAAAAAAAAGAAAGAAAACAATATTGTGGAATGGAAATTTTTCATATGAAGTTTTTAATGATTAGGTACATTTTAAAGGTAAATCCTTTTAGATAAGATAATGGATTTTGAAATAAATACATTCGTTGCTTTTTTCTCTTTAGTTTAGAAACTAAGTATTTCTTCATACTCCTGAGTTTCAGATTTTCTTTGTTGCACATTCTAATTTGAGTTAGCCATTTTTGGCTTTGGCTCTATATTTCCTTAGAATTATCAATATCCAATTTAATTCCCACCTCCAAACTTTAGAAAGTGAAAGAAAAGACTAAAATAAGATCTACTTCATTTTCTATATATTCAGATTTAATGGAGCAAGACATTACAGTGTTACAGTGCATCACAGTCCAGCATATATAAATGATATCTTCCAGTGGGCTTTTTGTAAGGTCATGGTTTAACATGTGATCTATCATGGAGAATTTTCTGTATGTGCTTGAGAAGAATGTATATTCTGCTGTTGAAATATGTTCTGTATATGTCTGTTAGGTCCATTTCGTCTGTACTGGTGTTGAAGTCCACTCTTTCTTTGTTGATTTTCTGTCTGGTTATTCTATCCATTACTAAAAGTGGAGTATTGCAGTTTCCTGCTATTACTGCGTTGCTATTTCTCATTTTAGTTCTGCCAATATTTGTTTTATATATTTAGGTGCTCTGATGTTGGATGCATAGATATCTATAATTGTTATAGTTTGCTGGTGGGTTGACCCTTTCATCATTACATTTTCTTCTTTGTCTCTTGTGACGGTTTTCTACTTACAGTCCATTTTGTCGGGTATAAAATAACCCACTCTGCTTTCTTTTGGCTATCATATGCATGGAATATCTTTTTTCATTTCTTTACTTTTACCCCGTGTGTGTCCTTAAATGTTAAGTAAGTCACTTGTAGAAATCATATATATTGTTTTTTTTCTTTCAGCTACCCTATGTCTTTTGATCCATGAGTTTAATTCATTTACATTTAAACATTTAAAGTGATTATTGGTAGGGAAGAATTTACTATTGCCATTTAGCTTATTGTTTCTAGCTGTCTTGTGGTAAGTTCTTCGGTGCTTTTCTTCCTGTCTTGTCTTTTTTTTTTTTAATTGGGACAGAGTCTCACTCTTGTCGCCCAGGCTGGAGTGCAATGGTGTGATTTCTGCTCACTGCAACCTCCACCTTCCCGGTTCGAGCAATTCTCTTGCCTCAGCTTCCTGAAGTAGCGGGGATTACAAGCACCTGCCACCATGCCCAGCTAACTTTTTTTGTATTTTTTAGTAGAGATGGAGTTCCACCATGTTGGCCAGACTGGTCTTGAACTCCTAACCTCAGGTGATCCACCTGGCTCGACCTCACAAAGCGTTGGGATTACAGGCGTGAACCACTGCGCCTGGCCTTGTGTAAACTTCTATAGATTTCCTTTGTGGTTACCATGAGACTTACATAAAATATTTTATAATTATAAGTCTGTTTTGAGGTGATAACAACTTCAATCATATACAAAAACTCTACACTTTTAATTCTCTCTCACCACACTATGTTATTGATGTTATAATTTACATCTATTTATACTGTGTATCCATAAACATATTTTAAAGTATAGTTATTTTAATACTTTTATCTTTTAACTTTTATGCTAGAATTAAATGGGATTTAACCACCACCATTTTAGTAATATATAGTAATATTGTAGTCCATATATGTTTGTATATGCACTTACCTTTATCAATGAGTTTCATATTTTCTTATGCTATTGTGTTATGTTTAACAATAAAGATGTACAGAGTATTTTCTTGTAATTAAAAAGAAATCTTTTTGTTCCATTATGATCTTTCTATTTGTTGCTCTCTCTCCCAGGAATGCTCTCTTTTTATCTGATTTCTTGACTTTTAGGTCTCAGTTTAAATGTTGCTCCTTCAATGGCCTTTCAATCTAAGGTATTTCAACCTTAATTTTTCATAGTGCCTTTTTTCCTTAATGATATTTATCACAATTTAAATTATATATTTGTGAATTTACTCATTGTATGTCTGTCATTCTCATTAGACCGAAGGTTCATGACAGCAATTTATTTTGTTCACTACCATACACCAGTGGCTATAATACAAATGCTTGGCCCATACTTGAAAATGGATGATTTTCCAAAAATGCATTTTTTTCCTAGGCAAACGCCTATAGAGGTTTCATGTTGTCTAAAAGAATATGTGAACTTCTTCAGGCTAATCTAAGCCTTTCCTTTCACTTTCTCTCCACACCTATCATTCATTCCTGTTCAGCTAGCTAGGCAGTCAAACCAGTCATCTCTTTAATCCTGTATATGTGTCTCTGCCCTGTTGTTCCTTCTCACTCCTTCCCTTTATGTTAATTTCTGACCAAACCATCCACTAAGGACAAACCTTACACTCATGTCTTCTAAGAATCCTTCCCCGATTCAGACAACACCACTCTCATAGCTGACTTGCTCTATATTCCCAAAGCACTTATATATAATCTGTCCTACAAGACCTGTGAATATGAGTAAATAATGCCTTTTCATTGTCAGCATTTTTATAAGCTGGTTAACCATTTGGAGAATATGAAGACAACTGGATATGGGAAGCGGGAAATTCAGAGAGCTGATTAATTATTTAGTGAATTGGTCATATGTGAATTTACGTATAGCCAAGTAGAAAGGTTGGGAACAATCATAAAGGGCCTAGAGGATATGATAGAGAGTTTAGATTTGATTGAGTATATTAAGAAGACATTGGAAGATTTTGACAGAACAGTAGCATGATCTGACTTACGTTTTTTATTTTATTATTATTTATATTATTATACTTTATGTTCTGGGGTACATGTGCAGAACTTGCAGGTTTGTTACACAGGTATACATGTGCCATGGTGGTTTGCTGCACCCATCAACCCGTCATCTACATTAGGTACTTCTCCTAATGCTCTCCCTCCCTTAGCCCCCCACTCCCCAACAGGCCCCAGTGTGTGATGTTCCCCTCCCTGTGTCCATGTGTTCTCATTGGTTGGCTTCCACCTATGAGTGAGAACATGTGGTGTTTAGTTTTCTGTTTCTGTGTTAGTTTGCTGAGAATGATGGCTTCCAGCTTTATCCATGTCCCTGCAAAGACATGAACTCATTTCCTGGCTTCTCTGTGAAGATATGTTGTGGTGGGACAAGATTGGAAATAGAAGAAATGAAGTTTTTGGTGAGAACTGTTGGGAGATATGAGGCAAGAGGGAAAGAATCAAGGATAACTTTTTGGGTTTTTGGCTTGAATGGTGTTGCCATTTGTTGAACTGAGGAAGAATTGGAAGGAGCCATTTTGGGGGGAATCTAGAAGTGAGTTTTTAGACAAGATCAACATGTCTATTAGACATCTATTAGAAGATGTTGAGTAGGCAGTTGAATGTGAGTCTAAAGATCAGGGCTGGAAATACAAATTTGAGAGTAATGAGGATACTTGTTGACAGTATCTGTAGCTCTGGGTCTGGCAGGGCAGTGAGGGTAGACCCAGAAGAGATGAGACCATGACTGAGGCCCAGGGCAATTCAATTTTCAGAGGACTGGAAGAGGAGATGCCAGTATCAAGACAGCAAGGACTGTAACTTCTACTTCGTTTGTATTGAAGCAGAGTGACTGGTTCAATGCTAAGTTCAGTCAGTGTTCAAAAAATTTCCTTCAGTGAAATGAACAAATAAATTGCTAAAAGAATAAGTAGGTAAATTGCCATAGCACATACCTCTTCTATGTTCATGCCAGAGCATAAAATAGTGTTTTTGCCACAGTCTCAGTCATAGACTACAATGGAAAGTTCCACACCTGGCAAGTACCTACTGGTAGTTGTGTGTGAATGTGTGTGTGTGTGTGTGTGTGTCTATGTGTGAACGTGTTATAAATTACATGTTTTAAATGCAGACTTCTCCCTTTACTTAAGTACAGATAAATAGCTTTGACTATTATTTAGCAAATGGAAAAATTTCTGAGCCAGTATGTTCCTGGGATATAATGGTTGCTGTTTTCATTAAAGGACACCAAACTTAATCCTTGGCAATCCATCAAAACCATATATGTTCAAGTGCCAATAAAAGTGAAATGACTTTGGCCAATTTGAAGCAAATTGGTCTTTATTTGTTAAGCTGAGGTACATATACTTAAAAGTCCTCTTGGAATACACCCAAATTTCAAAAGAAAACAAAGTTACATACTAAAAATTAGAAGGAGTGAGCAAGAGAGGCTTAGGTAATTATTCATTGTTTTTTTTTTAAATTTGATTTTATGTAATTGACATTTTCCAAATGTTGTATGATACCTTTTATATCCTAATAGTGTTATAAGTTTTAATAGATCATTGCAGAGGATACAGGATTATGAGCAAGACATTTCCAACTAAACAATCAATCATTGCCACCATCCTCTGGTAGGGAACTGCAAATTTTGATTCTGTCTGAGGGTATTTAGCACAAGCAAGCTTTTGAATGTCTGGAGTTAAATGGAGACTTAAAAAGAAAAATTATCCCATTTAATGGCCAAAACTAACAGGACCATGCAGTTTAAGTGTTCAGACATTTATGGTGCAAATGCTCATACAGCCAGCTGATGTCAGTTCTGGGAACTGGTATTAAGAGCAGTGGCATGAAACAGAGTTGATGAATTAGACAGAAAGGGCAGTCCATTTTCAGATTGCTTTCAAAAAAGCAGCAAGAGAGAAGCAAAGCTGCAAAAGCAAATGAAAATCCCAGCCCAGAACTTGACATTTGAAATATCAAAATTATAGATGGGAGAGATTAAAATTGCTGCCCGGTTTGTGATGTTTTCCATTCATCTTTCTTGGAAGGTGAAAATCACTGTAATTTTAAAGTTCTCTTTTTTTTTTCTTATTAACTCCCTTAAATGATGTTTGTGTTAGAATGACTGGGTCCTGCAGTGAAGTTTCCCAAAGTGTGTGTTAAAGAACGGAAGTAGTATTAAAAAGTGAATAAGCTGCTTAAAGATCCTTAAAACAGACATATCCTAAATATCTAACATACCTTCATCCATAGAAAAACAAAATCCACATCCTCCCTAAAAGTGATCTGCCTTCAGGCTCTTAGAGCATGCCAGAAGATGATATTAATATTCAGTCTTGCATCATTCCCCTTCTTTTCCTGGACACAGTAAATCATCATCACTGGAGAAAAGGACTAGCATTTGGGAGAGCTTTTCATAGCCTGTGTAACTAAGTTAAGGAATTTTAAAGAGGAATTTTTCTAAGTCTTAGAGGGAAAAAGTGTTCTCTTTATATTTGCAGTACAGACACCGTTGTGTTCCAAGAATGGACACCAAGGATGAATTCAATGAATTTCCTCTTTGTATCACACATTTATACCCATTTCTTTTCAGGAATCAGGATTTTTAAAAGCAAAAAACATTTGCTTTCTTAGATATTGTAGTTAACTTCATGTAGTGTGGGTGATACAGCTGCTGCGTTTAAAACAATCTTACGTACTTTATCATCCTCATATAGTTCTGAGGAGTGGGCTAAGTCCTGTTGCGTGGGATTGCATTCAGAGTGAATTTGGGCATTAAATAAATAACAGTGAAGAAACTGCCTCTTTTTTAAACCTATGATGAATGACTTTCCTGGTCAAGAAATATATATTTTTTCTTCTCTTTTAATCTGATTATTTGCCTTTCTACTAGGAAGCATCATATTTTTCAAAGTGCCCACACCATCTCCTCAGAGGATCTCTTTCTTTTCTGACTCAACACATACATTTCTGCTCTAATCTACAGCAGTAGTTTTGAGTAGAACAAATGACATAAAATGTTTTTTATAGAGAAAAAATGACATACCTTTTTCTTCTTCTTTCCTTTTGGTCTTCTTGGCAGAGGATGCTTCTTAAATGCTCACACTCACTGGGTGAGTTTGGGCAAAAGGGGAAGAGAGGAGGTGCTGGAAGGAGCTTCTTTACAACTGAACCTTTGTCTGCCTTGTCTCTGGGTTGGGATCACCAGACTCGCTGCTCCAGCCAGGACTGCGGGGAGGAGGGAGTGGAAGGAACTGAGTCTGCAAGAACTGCCTCCTTTGGAACTGTTCAGTTCATTCCAAACCAGGCGAGAATGAACTGAACAGCTTCTTTACAGAGGGAAATAACTAGTCTAT